TTTTTTTAAAAAATACAAGAAATAGAATAAGTATTAAAATATAATATATATAAATTTTATAATTTTTGACTGTATAGGTAATGATTTAAAAATTGTCAAAGTTGAAATTAATAATTAAAACATAGTAAGTGGATTCAAACTTTTGGAAGCAACCGTATATGATCACAAGGTGGTCTTAATTGTCACAGATAGTATAAAGCTTTGTATTGATTAGCTTGCATATTAAAATGGTTTCTTCAAGATTGAAAGTTTTATTCAGTATCTAATAGAAGGATTATTTGTATCAAAGTGGAGTACTGTATATTTTTTGAATCTATATAATATTAGGTAGGGTATATAACAAGTTTTTGCTTTTAATGTATAACAAATGTACTTGAGATTGAAAGCACAAGTTCCAGGTAAGAGATTGATAAGTTTTATGGATAAACTATCTCTTTTATTCATTTGAATTAGATTCTATATTACATCAAATATTCTTACTAAGTCTATTTTGATCAGGATGCTTTATGATTCAAGTGCCTTGTACTTGTTTTTCTTATTGAAAAATGTGATAGTGGCTAATTGTCACATCTATTATAATATCATTTTAATGTTTATAATCTGCTTAAATTTGAAAAATATTTGTATTTCAATAAGTTTGATGTTCAAAGAATGTTCCATACTCTGATGATTTTTCTTTTATCAAGTTTGTTAATTATTTTAGAGAGTAGTATGAATGTAGTATTGCCCGATTCAATTAGAATGATATTACTGGCTTCTTATACAGATTGTCTATCTCTGAAAATGATAATTATATGATAATTTTTCTTTATATATTTTTTTTTAAATTGTGAATAGTTCTTCAGAAGAGTTTAGTACCTTACTGAGAAAGATGATTTTTTTTTCTATTGAGTCTCCTGGGAGAAAAGTCATCTTGATTTTAGTTTAATTCATTCTCTGCCATATCTTATATTTCTATAAAAAGATGAGTATGTTTTTGATCTTTTTTCTTATCATGATTCATTTTGCTTATGCTTTCAATATATCTGCCAGCCTTGTTCTTCTAGGAAAAAGATATTGTCTTCAAAATCATTTCTGTATTTAAGTCATTGATTCTATAAGGTCTTTTTTTATTGGTAACTGCTTCCTTGCCTTTGATGTTTGAGGTTTCTCTGAGCTTGTATCGAGTTTCTAGTTGAAAGTTTTGTTCTACTTCAACTTGTTTACTCCATATATATTGTTGGTTCATACTATTGATTATTGTTGTTACTTCTACAGGTGTATAAGTGTTTGCAAAGTTGTTTGTAGGATGTTTAGAGTGGTGAAAGTTGTTAGCTTGTGTGTAGTAATTGGTCTTGTTCTTGTCTATTTTTGTGCTTCTTTATTGATAGGGCTAGGCTTGTTCCTTTATTAGCTTATTAATATTGTAGTTAGGCCTATTGTTTAAATATTGTGCTCTTTTTGATCTTTCTATTTTTTGCCTTTTTTGTTTTGTGGTTTCTGCTACTATGCCATGGAAAAATGGGAAAAAGTTTAATTGACCTTTTTTCTATTCAGTATTTTACTTTTTTGTTAATGTATAATTAGGAATCGCAATTTTTATCCAAAACTGAATGATCCACAGATTTGATCCGAATAGATCAGATCGAATTTTAAATTTTTTGATCTGTTTGTATTCGAATCAGATACAAATTTCAAATTTTGAAATCCGATCTGATTCGATCTGATCTGTTTGAATCAAATCTACAGATCATCAGTTTTGGATAAAAATTGTGATTTCTAGATTGAGGTCATGGTGGAAAGGACCTTTAGCAAGGAATGTTGGTGATTCATTTTAAATTTTATTTTTTTTTGTTGTATTGTTTAATGTATTGTTAGAACAATATTTATTGTTTAGACTTTTTCTAA